ATTGAATTAATAAAAAATACAGAAACTTACCCTGATTTCTACTGTTTGTTAAAGGGATCTCGCTCTTTTTCCTTGGTTAAGATCAAATATGCTTATCTTCTAGTTTGTAGTTTGTTTCGGTTATAGATGGTATTCATGTTTATTACAACTTTAAGGATGAGGTAATGGTGGCCGGTTGGCTTAATACAATTTAATACACCACTGCAGATATCTGGTACTTGCACGTTTATTTGGACCCAACTGACTTTTGATTGTGGTTTGCTATAGATAACTAACTACTAGGGGGGGGGGGTAAGGGTTTTTATTTATCTATAGTAGTATAAAACTTAACTCGTGAATCAGTTCAAATGATTTTAATACCATTTTTATTATAATAATAATACTAATGTATTTTTTTTGGATAAATACATTTTTATTTATCCAGAAGTAGTCATCTGCTACAATTAAACAAAACACCAAGAACAACCGAAACAATCAACCCAAGAAAACCCACCCAAAACCTATACTGATGAATTAAACAATCCAACACGAACAGTTAATCCGATCCCCATTCAATGCACATATTTCCATTAACAACATTAACATTATGAACATTCTTTCCAAGCAGCCTCTACTTAATATTATCCTTTATCCGACTAATCAGGACCTGCTCCTACATCTGTTTTTCCTGAAAAAACCTCCTCTACTTCCAGATCATATAGACAGTCGAGTTTCATGCTAGTTTAAGCACGATAGTGAGGAGCGACTCCCCCTAAGCATGCTAATAACCCAACTCAATTCCGTAATCCAATTAAACCCTCCTATGCAAGTTGCAAGCCCTCAAAACCCCAGATCATACATTCTTAGAATAAGAATAACCAAAAATAATATGATCCCTAGACTCCTTATCACCTATCACATAACACATCCCTTTCAACATAAATATCAAAGAAAGCAAGTCTATTCTTCGTCCGCAATCTATACAAAATAACTATCATGATACAAAATAAATAAACAACTAGTGCACATGATACTAATCTTAATAATCAAACTTAAGACTAGTAGATTGATATGTAAATCTCTTATCACTCTATTTATAATTATTTATTGAAATAATTTTTATAAATATATAAATTTTTACATAAATATTTTCTTTTATCCACGTTATAAATGTGATACTAAAAACTCTAATGAATTGAAAATTATAAATTATTCATTTTTTAAATTATTATAATATTTTTTTTATCTTTTTATACTTCTATAATTTTTAAATAAATAACTAAATATTACACTTTTAAAGATTTAAATCATGTTTAATGAAATTTATATATTCATTTTACAATATATACCTTTTTACATAATTATATTTCTTTCGCACATATTGTAAATATGACAAAATCTAGTAACTAACTAACTAACTATTCACGCCAACAAAAGATCACGTAGATGGACCAAAGGCAAGCCTTGACTCTAAAATTTAACATATTATTTCCCATTGATTGGGCCTTAATTTTAATAGACAAATGGAAGCGTTTTATATGTACGGATAGCAAACTCAAGCCATGTATACATTTAAAATAACATGTTTCATTTTAAGTTATATTAGAATACAATCATATAACAACGTGTATTTGGTAAATAACTTTTTTTTAAAAGGTTTTAGCTTATTTGAGTATAAATAGCTTATCGGTAGTCAAATCTTCTATTTTTAGTGTTTGGTGAACACCTTTTTAAAAGAGTTGATTGTATAAAATAAACTGAAAATAAAAATGTTGGAAAATCCAGATGTTTGGGAGAGGTGATTGCAGAATAAGATTTTAAATGATATATTTGACGTTATTATTTCTATAATTACATCCTTACCATAAAACCTCATTAGTGAAATTTTATTTTATTATTCTATTTTTTTGTAGATTCTCAATATATTTAGTTAATAAAATATAACAAAACATGAAAGTAAAAAAATAAATATAGTGTTGATATTTTATACATGGTTAATAGTATGTATCGATCTCACAAGGTTAATATTTGTAAATATAAAATTTAAAAAAATTAATTTTTTTTTAAATTTTCACTATTTTATACAATGTTAATAATATGTATCAATCTCACAAAATTTTTAATTCCTTGTTAATAAAGCATTTTATCCCTTATTTGTCATTTTACCCATATCAACTATCAACTAAATTTTACCAAGCACTTCTATATAAACAATTAATCTAATCAATTTCTCAAATCAGCTAATCAAATTAGTTGGTCAAACCAACTACTGGAATCTGCTACCAGCTATCAGTTATTTGCCAAACACCCCCTATATAAAATTTTGTGTGTTTTATAAACTTGTTAGATTAATTAAACTTAATGATTAAAATTAAAGCTTTAAAATTGGAGATAATTTGTTTCATAAAAAAAAATTTCTCATTTAGTAATGTTAATTTCAATCATTCATTTTCATTCATCCAACGGTTTAAAAAGTTGTGTAAAATTTGAGAATTTTAAATTCTGTCAATTGACCACCTCTTACAATATGAGTTAGGATCTATTTACACAGTATAAAATTATTTTTGAAGTTTTATATTTCATATTTTTGGATCATTAAATTAATTAAATTTAATGATTAAGATTAAAACTTTTAAATTTGAGGATAATCTTTTTTTTATTATAAAAATCTATTTATTTCTTATTATTATGTTAATTTTAATCATCTATTTTCGTTAGTACGTAAATTCAAAAAAACATAAAACTTAAACAAATCATACATGTCTATATATACATTATGCGAGCAGTTATTGGCCAATAGTATTGTTTATTAATAGATCGGCTATGGTGGCTTATTTTTCTAAAAAAGTGTTTACTTTCTGTTTTCTTTTAATCTATGCTTTGTATCAAAGCCAACAAGGGAATATTCTCTGGGTATCTATGGTCCTATAATGATGGACCAAAACCATGAGAGATAGGAGATTCTTAACAAAAATTCCTCATTTTTTCTTTCAAACTTATTTTCTAAATTTATATAAATTAAACATAATTAGATCAACTTATTTAGTTCAAGTAAAAGTTTCGAATACGGATTCTTAATTATTAAAATTTTATTGTTTTTATGATCGGATCCGATCCGATTCTATAATTATGTTTTTATAGAATAAAGTGGGCAAAGTGCTTCACCTATGCAACTTGCAGGAAACTAGAAAATTAATGCTTTTCGAAAAGAAGAAAGTGCACAGTTTTGTCACTAATAAGAGAAAAAGGGTTATTGAACTTTATGTATTGCACCATGTGGCCCTTGTCTAGTGGGTCGAATGGGACCTGAAAATTATACGTGCATTGTTGCAATCAATTTGGTGGCACCGGCCTTGAAGGTTTACCGATCAATAATAATAATTTAGTGACAGCAACAAGCAGCAAAGACAACTACCAAAAGAAATGAAAACTATTAGTAATGTCACAAGAAAAAAGTATATTTGCAGAAAAGCATCAGTGGGAACTCTCGCTTTGCTTTGCTGTTCAACTTTTTACCACACTTTTGAGCATTAGCAAAAGTTGTTTAGGTTTAAAGGTCAAATGAGGATTCCTCATGCACTAACCGGGAAGATTCTTCAAGTGTTTTTTTAACCAAAACGGAAGGCCATCGTCCTATGCCAACGAGTATTGGTATAAGTGGTTGAGTTTCAGGAATTTAAGCTTGTAAGGCCAAAATCGAATCTTATTACCGTCACTCTTAGTGACCAATTTGTAAATTCCTATGTAAATCCTAATTAAATCTTAAGTATGCCCTTACCCTAAACTGAGGGAACCACCCTGATCTAAATTTTTTTGTACCAAAAAAAGAAAAGAAAAGCCATGATCCTACTAGTTTTTTCAAGCTATGGAATTTATTTATTTTTGTTATCAAGAATTTTGAACTGTAATTAAAATAAATGTAGAATAAATAATTTGACACATAGGTGATCAAGTAGATGATTTAAAATTACTTTTGAGGATGGAAATATATATTAGTTATATAAAAATTTTGCTTTAGGGTAGGTATAAATAAAATTTCAGGTGGATATAATCAATAAAATTAACAATTAATTGAAAGAAATTCAAATTTCACGATGTACACTTGCACCCTCACCCCTACTTGCATCCGTTCGTGGGTGACAACATATACTTTTCTTCCTAATAAATTGAGATTTATTGTACCTCTTTTAGTTTTTCTCTGTAAATTATACTTCTGTTGCCAATTTTTCGTTTAGCAAGGCTTCTATAGTTTCCAAAAGTCTATGGAGTTCCATAGGATGGCTAAGTCTACTCACCTTATTGACCTATAAATAAATATGATCACCTTATGCCTACACCAGCATAAAAAATCATATATAAATTCCATGTGAAGCAGAAAGGGACTTTATCTTTTTTCAAAAAAAAATCTCTCGTTCTAAGACTACAATTCATCAACAAGATTCCATCCCACCATGGTAGTAAAAAATAAAGATGCCCTAATCGGCAAGGGTCAAGATTCTATAAGCAACAGTCTAAGAATAGGAAAAGGGATAGTAAATATCAGTATTAAACCCGAAACTAAGTATATCTAAGTAAAATGTGGCTGCAAAAATCAAATTAAACACAATGTTTCAGGAATGAATTGACAAGTACGAAGGTGGTCACACGCTGTTCTTGATGAACTAAGATCCCTCAATTATCGATGTTCTAATGGGTATTGAAGCAAAGAAATATGAATTATTGGAGTCTTTTTATCAACCTCCTTTTTTAGGTTCAATGACACAGAATGTGAATAATAAATCATAAAAACACCTGCCTGATCTCTTTTTAAACAAATAAACTATGATTTGGACATATTGCATCTTCAAGGTTACACACGTGACATGGGCACAAGGATGGATCGAGCCGGGTAGATTTTTATATAATTTAAGTTTTTTTTATGTTTTTGAGTAATAATTTAATTTCACACATTCTAAATTTTTAAATTCTCACTCTTAATATAAAATCTTATGTTCATTCCAGCATGACAAAGCTAACTTACATGTCTATTAGACTTGATCTTCATCTCATTAATTAATAACGAAACCTACACATAACTCCTTTATCATGGCGTTGCATCAACTGCATCTGTCAAAGAGTGTCGAGTGATTCGAATTGAGATCCGATCGGAGCTCCACTTCGCAAATTGTGTTCTTCTTGCTTGGTTCCATATGGAGGAAACCGGCAGGAAGGGGAGAAAACAATAGCTGCTGCTCCATTTTGTCGGTTCCACTCGAAATCAAACAGCTCTGTAGTTGTTACCCTGGCTACGGCAGAAGAATTATCAGGAGACGAAGGCTTGCAATGATCAAGGGGAGTAGACGGTGTATCGCCCGGGATGTTAACCGTCGTGATATCATGGATGCTTGACCGCCTCTTTTCCTTCCCTCCGGTAAGCCGCCTGATGAAGTATTTTTGAGCGTGACTCGCCACTTGAGTCGGTGTTCTAGATGTCACAAAGTTGAGTGAAATACTCCTCCAATCCCCTCTACCATACTTTTTAAGTCCCATTAGAAATTGCCTGTCATTGATCATCCAAAAGAAACATCATGAGACGCCTAAAGGAGCATGAGTAAAGCATTGAAAGGCCAACAATTACCACTTACCTGTGCTCTTCTTCGGTCCATGGAACCCCTTTCTTCCTTTCTTGATCGAAAGGTCGAGTTGCAGTCCCTTTTTTTCCACCTGGAGTGTAATCCAACGAAAAGGAACCACTGATATATTCAGGAATTGGTATCAGCCCTGCCTCGATATCACTAACATCCTCTTCCAATTCTCTGTACTGTTTGATTACATCTGCCACAGTTTTCCCAGGAATCATTGCAGCCACCTTAAACCATCGGTCAGGGGTGTCTTTATCGTACAAAGCCAGAGCATTTTCGAAACATTTGTTCTCTTCGTGAGTCCATTTTATATCTCTGTTCTCTTGAAACAACCAGTTGGAAGCATGTAAACAAGAGGCTGGTGACAGAATCTGGAGCCCGCTATTCATCTGTTTGATTGAAAATGTTCAAAGAGAAAAAAACACAAAGAAAGATGGCAGAGAAATGACTGTTTTAAATGACCAAACATGAAAGCATTTAAATGGGATTCGAGATGCCTTGCTTTTGACCTAAGATTAAAGTGAGGAATCTTGAAAAGTACTAATTAACCTTCCAAATCTCCAGGACGGAAAAGAAATGTGGCAGCACCTTTGTTTGAGCTTAGCTTTTACTGCTTATGTGTGTATGAAGGGTCAAAGGTGCCGAGTTTTGATTGGTAAAAATAGAGATTGTGGGCACTGATGCTGCAAAAGCAAAGCCATTCGGAATCGGCATTTGACTTTGGTTGGTGAACGGAAGTGGGGCTGACAGCTCGGAGTGTTTTTGACATTTTAGCAGTGGCACACGTGACATGTTTTATAGTTTATGTTGCTTTTGTTTCTAAACAAAAACTTTATTATATCCAAACCTTTAGAGACAAAATTCTACTGTCCCTTTTGTGTGCCTGTTAATATGCCCAACCAGAACTAATTGAGTGGGGTCAACGATAAATAGAATGTTGTTCTCATTTTTAATTCAATTAGTTAGATCTGTAAGGTATGTATAAGTTGTCAAAAGTTTAAGAAAATTATAACAAGATACTATCTTATAACATTTCTGAACAAAATCAATCTTGAAAGAAATATATAAAGTCAAAATGATTAGATATCACCTATAATTCTAAAGTAGGCTAATCAAATCTACGGAAATAGGGTTTTGTTTGTTGCTGAACAAAACCTGCAAAACACTTTATCTGATAGGGTTGGTAGCTGGAAAAATGAAGACTGTTGTTTGATATTTCTCCCCAAGGCAAGAATGGGATCTCTTTGATGGATTTAATTGCTATCAATTGCCGTCCCCCACTGCTAATCTTACTTGTTACCTGAGCATTTCTGAATTATTCATTTTATGCATTCCAAAATTTATCCCATATGTAACACCATCATATTGATACGGGTGACCAGATCCGATTCGAAGTGTCACATTAGGGCTACCGGAGCGACCCACGGTAAAAATCCAGGAAAAAAATAAATTTTTTTGTTAAAACGTGTAAAATCATAAAACAATTTATAAATAAAATACAAGTTCAGAAAACCATTTGTATTTTACAAATGGAATTAAAATCATATAAGTTCCATACTCAGTATATAAAAAAAATCAAATGTGACCTACATGCCCCCTAATTACACATTATACCGTACTCTGCAAGCAAAGCCAAAGGAACTCCCAATATTGAAGTTGTTAGCTGCATTGAATCGATTCTTTTAACTTTAAATGGTGAATAAAAAGTGAGCTTTGGGAAGTTCAGTAATACAGAACTACCAAATGAATACAATAGGTCATCATGTATAAGTAAAGCATGAATTTTCTTAACGATACAGACATCATCAGGTTCTACTGACAAGCTCAGATTTCATTAATCATTTCTTCATGTAACAGTCAGGAAATCAAAATCTAAAGAAAATACTCAGAGAGAGACTCAAGAGATTGAGATGACGAGTCTACTATGTTCCCTCCAAACCAGAATAAATGTAATCATAGTTTAAAAACATTAGTAGTTTATTTCAGTAAAACTTGTATTAAAATCACTATAATATCATCCACCCGAATACTCTATATTCAGTCCCCCAGAACTGCATCCATAAGGACTTACCCTAAGCACACAACAAATGAGCCACCCTAAGGGAATACCTTGGGGCCTATGGGCTTACCCAATGGTCTCCTTAGGTCCGTAAGGATTTACCAGCTTAATCAGAGTTGAATCTCCGTACTCCATACTCCTATCCATATAGTATCCAGTAGAATTTAGATTGAGCAATAACTTTAATATCAAAACCATGATCCAATATAATGTTGTAAAAATGACAATGTGGTTATATAAATCACATAAATGCCCTCCACCCGTACACCAAAATATAATCCCCATACTAAGGGAGTGTCTTGGGGCCTTAGAGCCTACCCAAAGGTCACTTTAGGTCCGTAAGGAATTACCAGTTTGATCAGAGTTGAACCTCCATACTCCAACCTACCTAGATAGTGTCCCAATAAAACAATTCAAGTAGTAATCAGTAGTTTCATGATATAGACTTCATACATATTTCATTTTTCCAATAAAACAAATAACCAATAAATCATTATATTTGTTGAAAACATTTTGATGTTTCGATATAACAAATTAAGTTAAATGAATTTTAAGATTTTACAAAAGAATTTCTAAGTATATTCGATATAATTTATTCGAATATCAAAATATTACTCCAAGTCTTTCAAAGATCATTTTAAACCTTACCAAAGTGTAAAATTAAGTTTTAATCTTAAAATATTCTCAAAACAATTTTACAAAGTATTTCGAACCAAAAATAAGCCAAAATTCCAGATTGTCCAGAGGGAACCGATTCCCCCCCAAGGGGGTACCAATTCCCCCTTAATGGTTTGGCTCCGAGAAATAACATAATGCTCGGAGAGAACCGATTCCCCCCAAGGGGGTACCGATTCCCCCTGTTCAACGGTCGAAATATTTGAATTTTACACTAAGGGAATCGATTCCCTATGAGGGGGTACTGATTCCCCCCACGCTCTAAGCAGTTTTATTAATTGTTTTCACACTTAAACGACTCCATTGACTTCACTAATCATCCCCAACGTTCAGAATCAATTGAAGGAGTATTTAATCAACCTTAGAAGCCATTGATCAACAACAAGAAACAACAATCAACAAGAATCAAGAGAGAATCAAAGAGAAAACATCAAACCTCAAGTTTGAGCATTTTCAAGCCTATTTTATTCAATATTCATTTTTTCTTTCAAGAACACTTATTGAGCTTAATTGTATTATTCTTGAGTGTTCTTTCTTTGTTCTAGAATTGTGCAAACATCTTGCCTTGTGAGGATTTTCTTGTAAGTTTTCAAAATTTGTATTGTTCTCTTTGTGAGAGAGTGTTCTCAAGAATTTAGGGTATAATTCTTGAGGGATTTGTAAGGTTACTCTTTGTCCTCAAAAGAAAGACAAATTAGTGAATTTGTGGAAAATCCTTAGTGTGGAAAGCTAAGGTAGTGGACGTAGACTTTGGTTGAGAAAGTCGAACCACTTTAAATTGTTGTGCAAATATTTTCAATTTTTTGCAAAAGCCTCCACCAAATTTTAATTACCAATTCACCCCCCTCTTGGCCATATTCGTCGATCGATTAACTCAATAATTGACATCAGAGCTTGAATCATTTGAAGGTTTAATCGTCTCTTTAGTAGATTTGGGAAGAGTTACATCGATAATCAAGTTATCAACGACCTCCACTTCAAACTCCGACTTCGGTCTTGATTCATTGCCCGTCAACAAGCCTCTTTTCTTCAATGGAGCTAATTATGCTTACTGGAAGAATATGATGTATTTCATTCAAGCAAGTGACATGGTAGTATGGAATATTATAGAAGACGGATACATCAAACCTTCCACTCATCCAAGATTATGGAGTGATAGAGATACAAGAATGTTCCAGCTCAACTCCAAAGCCATCCATATTATCTTTTGTGCTCTTGGACCAGATGAATATGGGAGAGTTTCATCTTGTACAACCACCAAGGAGATATGGGACAAACAAAAAGTTACTCATGAAGGCACCAACGAGGTAGAAGAATCTAAAATTAGTCTTCTAACACATAGCTATGAAAATTTCAGGATGAAACCGGATAAAGATATCAAAGCTATGACGGATATATTTTCAACGATTGTTAATGGTCTCAAATCATATGGAGAGATCATTCCAAATGAAAAGCTTGTGAGGAAGTTGGTTTACTCACTTTCAAAATCATGGCAATCAAAGAAGACGACAATTATTGAGGCTAAGAACTTAAAGTCCTTAAACCTTGAAGAACTAATCGGCTCACTCCTCACTCATGAAATGATGCTTCAAGAGGTAGACCTCGATAAGATTTGATGAGACACCAAAAGAGAATGAGAAGAAGAAAAATGTTGGAGTTACTCTCAAATCCACAAAAGATAAGAGTGATTCGGATGAAGATGACGAGGAAATGCCATTATTTGCCAAACAGTTCAGAAAATTGATAAAGCCAAACCGATGAAGAAAATTCAAACGAAATGAAGGCTTCAAAATTGAACCAAAGGAGAATGACCCAATCATTTGCTACGAATGCAAAAAGCCGGGGTATGTCAAATATGATTGCCCTCAATTAAAGAAAAAGGGTCAATCAAAGAAGAAGCACAAGGCTCATGTAGCTACATGGAGCGATGAAGAAGGTTCTGATGAAGAGGAACAAGAAGTAGCAAACTTGTGCTTGATGGCATTCGGGGAAGATTCTAAGGTAACCTCTAACTCATTCGATTTAGATGAATTATCATATGATTAGTTATTAGAGGATTATAATGGGTTGGCTTAAAATTATAAGACTTTATTTTCAAAATAAAAAAATGATATTTCAAAATTAAAAAATGAAAAATAGTCTTATGTCCAAAACCAACAATGATCTTGAAAGTAAAATTAAAAATTTGCAAATCAAACTAGAAGAGTTTAAAAAGAAAAATCTTGTTTGCAAAATTTACTCTCAAAGGTCAATGATGATCATCAAAAGAAATTCATGATCTTAAAGCTTCTTTTGATAAAGTTGGAACAAAACGTTTTGAAAATGGAGAAAATTCAAATCCAACTTTGTTAGAAAAAGTTTTAAAAACTACAATCATAGAAGTCCCCGAAGAATCTCTAACGGAAAAATCGTTAGAAGTATATGGGTTCCTAAAGAACTCATTACTACTAAAGATAAGGTGTTGGAAACATTTTTGTGTTTCGATATAATAAATTAAGTTTAAATGAATTTTAAGATTTTACAAATGATTTCCAAGTCTTTCAAGTTCAAATTCAAACCTAACTAAATGTGTAAAATTGTGTTTTATACTTAAACTATTTTTGAAACAATTTTCATAAAGTATTTTGAACCAAAATCAAGCCTAAAATCAATTTTTCAAAGTGATGCACCAATCCATGCATTGATGCACCATGAATTAAATTAAACATCGAATGCATCGTTGCACTGAGGATTTTATGAAAACATCGAATGCATTTGATGCATCGATGCACCAACCATGCATCAATGCACTCTGGCTATTTTAAAACATCG